AACAAGCGGGACTGACCTAGGGTGAATTTTAAATAGGGAAAAATTTTTAAAGATTTTAATAATGACACAGCCATTAATATATTTGATTTTTAATTGGTTTTATAGGGGAAATGTTTTTTGTGTTGTTTTTTAACATGCTGTGAGCCGCCCTGAGTCCCGTGGGGAGAAGGGCGGCATAGAAGTTAGTGATAAAAAAAAATAAAATAAAAATAAAAAAAAGATCAGGGTTGAATTGTGGGGTCTTTGGTGATCTCCGAGCTTGGTTGTTTTCTTGCAGACTTTTCATTACCAAATTAGGTAACATCATCAGTACATGCATGAAGCTAAGTGATGGTAATATGCTTCCCTAGTCTTCTCTTCACAGGAACAAACATTCATAACTTCTTACGTTCTTCATTACAACATTATGTGGACAGAGAGAGAGAAAGAGAGAGAGAGAAACAATGAATGAATGAATGAATGAATGAATGAATGAATGTCATGATTCAGTTACCCCTATTTCAGTATCACAAGTGCATAGGTTGCCTTTTTCTGTTATACAGGTACTCGACTTACAACCATTCATTTAGTGACTGTTTGAATTTACAAGTGACTTATGACCGTTTTTCACACTTATGACCATTGCAGCATCCCCAAGGTCACATGATCAAAATTTGGACGCTTGGCAACTGGCTCATATTTATGACGGTTGCAGCATCCTGGGGTCATGTGTTCCCCTTTTGTGACCTTCTGACAAGCAAAGTCAATAGGAAAGTCAGATTCACTTAGTAACCATGTTACTAAGTTAACTGCAGTGATTCACTTAACAACTGTGGCAAGAAAGGTCGTAAAATGGGGCAAACCCCACTTAACAACTGTCTTGCATAGCAACTGAAATTTTGGGCTCAATTGTGGTTGTAAGTGGAGGACTATCTTGTATAGCAATAGTACGTATGTGTGTAGGCATGCATGTATGTATATATTTATTATTTTATATGGCTGCCTATTCCATCTAGTGACTCTGGTAGTATGTCAGTCAAAGTACATCAATCCCTCACAACAGAGTGGACAGAAAAAAAAGGAAGAAACAAGAAGCAGTAAAAAAAAAATGAAAACCATGAATGACAGATTGTAAATGGGATCTGGGCAATAACATTAGTTTGGCTGTGTTGGTGGAAGGTCCGGTAAGTATCTCCCTGGAGTAGTCAAACAATAGATTAATCTTATACTGCTAACCTTAGTTAATTTGTTTGTGACTGAGAATGCAGACTGAGTTCATTTGTTCAACTTACGGTTCAACGACTTGACATAACTCGAACAAATCCTGAAAATGAGTTACTCCCATATACTGCTTAAAAGGGGTTGTCTGCATACTGCCACGATATTGCAGTGTATTGCTGTATACTGTCTTCAGGTACGGTACGTGACAAATGAAATAAAAACATTTGAAATGAAACAAATTTCCTAATCTGTTTATTTCTCTTTGAGGTGTGGAAAAGGTCTCACCAGTTGGTCACCAATATATGGGATGGAAGGGAGACTGTAGTTTCTAATCACACCCCTGAATGCTCAACAAAATCTAATTGGGCTTTTCTGATTAGCGGAACACACAAATCTTCTAGAAGACCAAAGTGTACCATAGATTCAGAGTGAAGAAAACAGTGAGCATTTATTATCTTTTACTTATTTGGAGTGATAGCTGATTAATTCCTATGATTTAGACAATGATACTGATTTGATCTCAGGCAGAGCTTGATACTAGCTAATATTTCACACACTATCACTTTCTTTGGAAGGTTTAGGACTGCAGTTTATGTGACTCTTGAGAAGCAATCTGAAAAAAAGACAACCCAATTTTAACGATAAAGTAAATATCCAAACACTAAGAGACGAGACATAATCTTAATATTTTTTTTTAAGGAAAGAAGCCACTTATTTACAAAAAGGATGCTCCAGGAGGAAGAATCAGATTCCAGGTTACAAGCTCTTAAGCTACCTCAGGAAGAAGAATCACTTTGTGGTAATCATCTCACCAACCTTTATTCCAAGTTCTATGTTCTCTCCACCATAAACATCCATNATAGCTGGTGTCCTGAGGAATAAATGGAAGAGAAGTAAGAATTGCTTTGTTATTGTGGTTCGATTACATCTTTCCCGAGAGATAGAGGTCTAGTTGTTCATGGAAAACAATAGCAATAGCAATAGAACATAGACTTATATATTCTTCATAGTGTTTTTACAGCCCTCTCTAAGCAGTTCAGAGTCAGCATATTTTCCTCGACAATCAGGGTCGTTATTTTACCAACCTCAGAAGGATGGAAGGCTGAGTCAACCTTGAGCCAGTCAGGATTGAACTCCTGGCAGTGGGCAGAATTAGCACACTGCATTCTAACCACTGCGCCATCACAATAGAACACCTATTATGATAGAAGTTTAAATGACCAAGAGACAATCTGATGGTTGTGAGCATTGTTGTGCCTGCAGACCCCCTCCTTTGGTGCATAAGAAGCTTCCTGCTAACTTGTTAAATATTCTTCTACTTAAGATTCTTTTAATTAATCTAATTACATTCTTCTAATTAAAAAAAGAAATGGACGATGTACCAGCTCTTAACAGTATCTCTGCTTGTGAGGATGCCTCTGGGGCTGATGGAGATGCCACGAGAACGCTCTGAAAACTTCTCAGAGCTCAGTGCTCTGTTTTGAAAGATTTCCAACCCAAGCATCCAGGAAAAGACAAAATTAAATCTGGATGGGACAATTTATTCCTGAAGGTCTTAAGGAGATGATGAGTTGATCATTTGCTTTCAAATACAACTGTGCTTTGTAACTGGCAGACTCTGTCAAATCAGATATTTTGTGATTAGCTGTGATATGCCTACAAATTCCAAATTTACCCTCCCAGCTCCTCCCCACCCTCCCCCCGCTGCATTCTTTTAATCTACTCTAAGTAATTTATTCTTTTGTTCTATGATATCAAGCTTCCTAAAAGCTAACACTCATGAGCCCCAATTTTGTCCACGGTGTCTTTTGTTGTCAAAAATTATCTTAGACACCGACATGCTAACAATTTACTAGGGCTGGATGAAGCTCTGATTCGCTCAAGTCACCCTTTTGAACTGGACATCCCAATTAATTTGACGCATTGAATGGAACGGCTGAGCCAATGCACTCTCGTGCATGCTCACAGGTGCTTCTTTTAATGCTATCAAGAATATGTGGACTGAATCAAATTACTTGTTTGATTTCTACCCAGCTTTTCGTTCATGAGCACAGAGCAGCATGTACAAGTAATCCTTGACTTACAACAATTCATTTAGTGACCATTCAAAGTTACAAGGGTACTGAAAAAAGTGACTTATGACTGTTTTCCACACTTACGACCATTGCAACATCTCCTTGGCCATGTGATCAATATTCAGATGCTTGGCAACTGACTCATATTTATGATGATTGCATTATCCTGGGGTCATGTGGTCACGTTTTATGACCTTGTGAGAAGCAAAGTCAATAGGAAAGTCAGATTCACTTAACAACCATGTTACTAACTTAACAATTGCAGTGATTCACTTAACGACCGGCCTAAAGGAAGCAACCGATCCAGCCATTGGTTGAACGTTAATCTACCCTTTCCTAATGCAACACCTTCATAAGTCCATCACCCCAACTCTTGAGCTAAAAGAGAGGGATCTGCCCCCAACTCTTTTTCTAAGGCTGAATTTGGACTGGGAAAACAATTTTAGCACTATAGGTAGTCCTTGACTTGCAACCACCCTAACCCTAACCAGAATTTCAGTTACTAAGCAAAGCTTAGTTGTTAAGTGAGTTGTGTCCAATTTTATGACCCTGTTTGCCACAATTAAGCAAATCACTGCAGTTGTTATTATGCATGTTAAATGAATCTGGACTACCCCGTAGACTTTTGTTTGTTGGAAGCCACCTAGGAAGGTTGCAAATGGTGGTCATATGATCCCTGGATATTGCAACCATTGTAAATACATGTCAGTTGCCAAGCATCCAAATTTTGATCATGTGACCATGAGGATGTTGCAACTATTCCACTGTGAGTACTGATTGTAAGTCACTTTTTTCAGTACCATTGTACCTGCAAACAATTACTAAAGGAATTATTATAAGTCGGAGGACTTCCGGTTTGGCGTTTGATGAGACGGGTGGAAGAAGCCGGGGCTCCAGATTCTTAGCCCAATTTCATTCTGCCTGGCGAGTCGGAAAGTTGCCCTGGAGGGGCAACAAAGAAGGAGGGATGCCTCAGGAGTCCGGACCAGATGGTGGTCAGTCCAGACGGACTGAAGAAACCTTCCAAAAGGATGGAGGAAAGGCTGCCTGCTAAGCCCAGACAGCCCAAGTCATCGCCAGCCAGAAGAAAAACAAGAAACCACGGCGCTCTGCTAAACAGCTGATTGTCAACAGCATGCTGAAACTGGGTGAGCCTGTTCTTCTATTCCTTTTCCTTATGGACTTAGAAATGTTGATCCCCTGATTGGGAAGAGCTATGAAGTAAAGACTCCAGAAGGACTAGGGGAGAAGAGAGTTAAAAGTGATGAGCAACTACAGGAGGGGGTAGGATTTTAAGGAAGACAAAAGAACTCTTAAAAATTGAATTCAGATTGACTCAAAGAAAGACTGTTTAACCTACAGGATGTGAAAAAAAATTCACAAAGCTGATTGCAAAAGGCATAAATTGCAGATGGTTAATGCCAGAAGGGATTTTAATCAACTGAAATAATACAAGATATCGATTGGATTCAGTTTGGAAAGCAAAAGATTTTGATGAAAGAAATTGAGCATTCTTAGATGAAGGAGTGCAACATCGACAAGAGGAGAGAAAAGATCAGAAACAAACAGAAGAAGCAACTGAAGAAATAATTATACAAACAGTAGAACAGAAAGAGAAATTTGATCAAGAGAGTGAAGGAACTGCCAGAGAACAGAGGACTACAAGATCAACTAGACCTAAATATAAATAATTGAAAGGAGAAAGAAAATGGATTTTTCAGTGAATATAAATGGACTAAACTCCCCATCAAAAAGAAACAATTTTTTTTAGAAAACTACAGAAATTAAATATAGATATAATTTGTTTGCAAGAGACACATATAAAAAGACAATATTACAAGTTGTTGGAATACCCTAAAATTGGGAAACTTTACCATGCATCAGCACAACAGAAAAAAAGAGGTGTTGCCGTATATATTAAAGAGACAATAGATTCTAAAGTGATTTATTCAGATGAAGAAGGAAGAACTGTGATATAAAAAATGCACTATTAACAACATGGGAAAAAATAAAATGCAAAATATATTTGAAAATGCCAGGGTAGTTGTCAACAATGGAAGCATTTATACACCCAAATTTAGTGAACTTTAAAAAAAATCTGGACATATAGAGATATTCTAAACTCTGAAGGGAATTTAAAATCTAAACAAGAAATGGAAAATTAGGGTATCAATTTATCATGGTGAGCACATTTACAAATACAAGTTAGATATGATAAAGATGTTAAACTGTATGGATTTTATAAGGAACAAACTGTGTTTGATAAGACATTATTAACTTCTGATGAGAAACTAATTAAGCAAATGTATAATTTTCTATTAACTTTGAAAATGGAAAGCGAACAAGTTAAAGAAACAATGATAAGATGGGTGAAAATTTTTGGATACAATATAGAATTAGAAAAATGGCAAAATTTATGGGAAAGAAATTACAAATTGACAATGCCAACTTCCTACAAATAAATTTATATAAAATGTTTTATAGATGGCACTTGCCACTAGCAAGACTAGCAAAAATGTTTAAAAACATGTCAGATAGATGTTGGAATTGTAAAGATAAGTCAGGCACTTATTATCATGTTTGGTGGACATGTGACAAAGTAAAGAGTTATTGGAAAAAGATACATGCTTGGCTAGAAAAGATGTTGGGAGAACATGTAGATTTTAAACCTGAACTTTTTGTATTAGGTATAATGCCAGAAAAGACTGATAAACAAAGCATATATTTGATTTTGCATGGTACAACAGTAGCAAGCATTATATTTGCGCAATATTGGAAAAAATGAAGGAACACCATCAGATGAAGAAATAATTAAAAAAATACTAGAATGCGCAGAGATGGATAGACTGACTATGAGACTAAAAGAAAAAGAAGAAACAGGATATTACCAAACTTGGGACTTATTTTATCGATGGCTAAAGGAAAGAATAAAGGATTAGGAATTAAATATGTATTAGCGAATATAAACTCAGACAGCACATTTGTTGAAAAATTATTACTGAATGTATGGGGGGAAAAACCAATAAAAACTTTAAAAATAAAATAAAATAAAGGAATTATTATAAGTCAAGGACTGCTTGTACTTGGAATGGAAAAACAGAGTTTGCAACTGGCTGTATAGTAACATCATGCACCAATGTCTGGAACTGGGAAGCGATTCATCAACATCAGATCAGATAGAGATTTAAGGATTGTAAATAGTTTACAAGCATGTTCACGGTCAGTTGCCCTGCAGCAAATCACATTTGTCCCAGCAACTGAATAGGTCAAAGAAAGGCTAAGATGACAGGGAAAAGAATGTGTGATACTTGCTACTAGCAAAGGATAAAAGAATAAGCTTTACAGTTCTTTCTTGGAAGACCCATTGTTTTTTGAGATGTTGAGACTTTGGAAAAAGTGTAGAGAAAAGCAACTAAGATGATAAAAGGCCTGGAGAACAAACCATAGGAAGAATGGTTGCAGGAACTGGGTATGGCTAGTCTACAGAAAAGAAGGACTAGAGGTGACATGATAGCAGTATTCCAGTATCTGAGGGGCTGCCACAAAGAAGAGGGAGTCAACTTATTTTCCAAAGACCTAGAAGGCAAGACAAGAAACAATGGATAGAAACTAATCAAGGAGAGAAGCAACCTGGAATTAAGGAGAAACTTTCTAACAGTGAGAACAATTAACCAGCGGAACAGCTTGCCTTCAGAAGTTGTGGGTGCTTCATCACTGGAGGTTTTTAAAAAGAGAGTGTCTGAAATGGCATAAGGTCTCCTTCTTGACCAGGTGATTGGACTAGAAGA